GATACCCCCATGTTTCTTAATGTCCCGGTAAAGGGAGCCTCTAGACAAGAAATACGAATGAGTTTTGATTCAGAATGTTGTGAGAAAACGATAGTGTATTCATAAGATCGTGTACCTTGAGTTATTCTAGCAATTATGCTCTCTATGCGCCATTAACACCATATATGCCTAGTCCATCCGTCTCGTCGCTAAAATGCCAGTCATAAAGTTTCCAAGCCAGTCGCTATCCTGTACTACATGTCTCGGATCATCTCCGTGACCACTTCTTGAGTTGCTTTTCGGGTATAGTGTTGACGAATGCTTCTTGGAGGAAATGTTTCCAAACCTTGTTGGTCTTCCTTCTCTTGTTCTTCCCTTTCTTGCCCCTGGTAGCGGTGAAGTCCAAATCGGAGTCTCCCTCTTCAGGTTCTGGAAGTTCAGGTTCGTCGCCGTCGCCGTCTGAGTCTGAGTCTGGCTCGTCTTCAAAATCCTCATTGTACTCTTCAGCTGCCTTGCCCTTGCCCTTCTTCGTCTTCCTCTTAGCGATTCTAGACGCTAGCCTGAGGTAGCTTCGAACTGTCAAGTCGGGCAGCTTGAAGATCTTGTCGGTAAAAGTGCTGTATTCAACCTCGTATCTGAACTTCTTGGGCTGCGGTTTGTCGTGGTTGGGTACTTCATCACTGAAATCGCCGTCGCGCCACTTGCTTGTCTCAGACAAGTCGGTAAGATCATTGTTGATATAGGTGAGGTTGGCAAAATATTGCGTGTATCCCATAAAGGTGAATGTCTGGCGAGAATATGCAGGGCCAGGAGGTGATCCCTTTGGGGGAGCTGGTGGGATCACGAGTTCAGGGTTCTTGGGCTTCTTCTTGCCCTTTCTTCCCTTCCTACCCTTCTTGCCTTTCCTGCCCTTCTTCTTTCGCTCAGCTTCGAGGTCTCTCTTGAGTTCCTGGTGGGCTTCCTCGTCCTCAGAGAAGTCGGGAAACTCTTCGGGAACTTTTGAGTTGATGTCGAATGAGTCGGTCCAGACTGGCGCATCCTCCAGGCCGGTGATATTGTACTCGATTATGCGAATAGTCGGGAAGTAGTTGGGGACGACGCTGGGACTAACAAGAGATACCTGATATCGTTCTCCATATTTGCCTCCGATCTTGCCGTGACCCTTCTTCTTTTTACCCTTCTTCCCCCCCTTCTTCTTCTTCTTTCTATCCCTCAACTCGTCGACATTTTCATCTTGCGTCTCAAGGTCATCTTCAGCGTCTAGATCTTCTTCTAGTGCCTTTGCAGCTGAGCCTGGCAAGCTAGACCAGGACTTTCTAAGGTCTATCAAGTAGTCGCTCTTTGACTCGACGGAAAAGCCATCATCCATGGGTTCTCGGACAGTCCCTGCCTTGTCGTAAAGGCTCAGATCAATGTCCTTGGTGTCCTGAAATAGGAAGTGGTCAATGTTCATATGGCCGTAAAGAGAGCCAGTAACAACATCGCGGAACTGCTTCAGCCAGAGTGTGTATTTTTGCCAGCAAGTTTCGTCCCAATTCTGCTTGTTCTTGGTTCGGGCAGGAGGAACATGGCCGATCAGGATAGCCTTCATTCCACGCTCACGTAATCGCTGAAGTTGAACGCTCAACCACTCCATGTGCTTGAAACCAGGCTCTGAGGGAATTGCGCAGCCGTCAACGCCAGCATTCCGATCGAAAAAGTACATGGTGTTGAGGCTGATGACGGATAGCTGATTGGGAATAACCTCAACCTCGAACCATCCACCGAATCCGAAGGAGTGTCGCTGTTCCTCAGGGATAAAACGATGCCATATGCTGCTATAAGCCTGCAGCCACTTGTTTGGCCCGGGATAGAAGATGTTGTGCGGCAGAAAATCGTTGTTGCCAAAAGTTGGAATAACAGGGACGGTGAGGGCTCCATCGTCAGAAAACGTCTTGACAATCTTTCTGGCGACCTTTCGGTTCATATCCAGAACATGGCTCGAGCTTCGTGGCAGCTTCTCGTCGCTATCGTGGCGCGCCGTGTCACCCGTCCACACAACAAAGTCGACATCATCCTTGACGTTCTTCCGTACCCATTCCAAGGTCGCGTCGACAAGATCCACGGGAGAGTCGCAATCGGTGGTTTCGGCGCCATATAGACCTGCAGGGCCCTTCCCGCGGTGGCATGCAACGCCCTGGGCTGTTGATGAATGGGCTTTGTAGAATTCGTCAGGGTGAAAATCTGGAGTTGTGGTTGTTAGTGGGCTGCTTTGGATGCGACGCTGAGTTATCATATTTTCATCCGTAGATGCAGGAACATGGGACCCGTTTCACATGTGATATTGCGTACCTGTTATATGCAAGAATTTGCCATTCAGTTTGCGACCCGGTTGTTGGATGTGCGGCGTCTCTATAGAATCGCGTGTGCCTGTAATTGCGTCGAGAACTTTTTGGCCGGCGTCGAGGATTGGTGAAGGAGAGACGCTAGGGAGTATTAAGGCGGCTGCCACGAGCAGTCGGGCGCCTGAGAGTGGCATTTTGCTCGTTTTGGATTGCAGCCTCTATTTGATAAGTAGTTCGTTTATGTTCGGTGTTTGTAGTCGAATTTTGGTGATAGCTAGGTGAAAGAAGTGATGCTGAGGTAAGATACAGGGTCCAGGTATGAAATTGAAGGTGTGAGGTCATTCCAGAGTCAATCTCGGTAGCAGCCTTCAAGGGGTAAGATGCTGTTCAAGCCACAGAGAGAGGCACGCTCTGGTTCTGGCTGACACGTTAGTGATGGGAGAACAAAGGAAGATGATGTCTCTATATGGAATCCTTGATACAAAGAAGAAAAAAGTTGACGGGGAAGAAAAGGGCGTCGATAGACTAATTTCCACAGAACCAACCTACCTGAGCTATGATCAATCAATACCGTCGATGGGGATCCACTGCTCGGTGTAGGTAGGTGCCAAGACTGCCCTGGCTGGCTGATGGCATCGAATAATTATCACAGCGACAAAGGGGAAGCATTGAGTTTAAAATACTCGAGTCCCAAGAGTCGAAATAGTGACAAAATTAATCAACAGCTCCTATTCCCGTCTTCTTCAGTGGATGCCCCTCCCCCACGTTGTCGTGTGCTCACGCTGAGACGCCTGGTGATCCATTGTTGAAGTTGAGGAAGACGGTAAGATCGGCCAATCTTGAGCGGCGCGGGCTACACGTGTACTAGAGCAAATGGTGCAAATGGACGAGGAGAATGGGCATGAACGAGACAGAACAAGACACTGACACGCGATACTTGAATTCAATCAGTCATGCCTGCTAAATTGCCATCAAAACATTGTGCTTTTGCATTTAGATACCGCTTGTCCTCTACCTAGGTAAGCTCTTCATCTATTCTTCACCTCAATCAAACCCTTCCATCTGCTCTCATATTCAGGGTCCAGCAGTTACAGAAAACAGCTGCAGCCTTAATTCAGGCACATACGTAATGGGCTTTGGCATATGCCATCAGGGTCCCCCTTCTGTAAATCCTCCTCCCAACAGTGGATACCTGCATTGACTGGTCCGTTGAGTCTCACATGTGGAACCTCATAAACGCCCTCGTGAACATTCCATCACATTCGCTTTCACAGAGATGCATACATACACAGAGTTTATCAAGTGTTTATTGTGATTTGTTGCACCTATGGATCATCTATGCTTCATCTAGTATCGGCTCGCTTCTGACATCCTTCCATAATAATCCTCGTGATATCGAGTCAAACGGCTTACTGGCTGCCTGCACAAGACTGACTATTCTGTGCCCGAAGCGTGCTTATTTTGTTCAACACAACAAGTAAATACGACACAGAAGAAATTCCGCTCGCGTGAGCATCTTCGAGCAAAGTCCCATAACTACCTACTTGATTTGGTGTTGGACACACTCGACATCTATCGAAACACCCACGAACTTCTTCACCCAACTCAAGGTCCAGGGTAGGTAAGGACCTAGATGCCCCACTAGCACGGATCTCGCTTAGGTAGCATCCGCCGCTAGTCCTCATGTGGGTTCATACATATGCAAAAATTCTGGCTCGTTTCCTTTCTCTCTTCTTCACCACGCAACATCGTCTCCTCGACGGTGCCGGTAACATCCAAAACTGGCGCCACGATCATCTCAGTCTTCCCACAGTTGGTCACCACTTGAAGGGGAGGCCGTTGCTAGACAATATCGCCGCTCGTTTGAGGGAGGCCATACGCTTTTGTGTGGTGGTTTCCTATGGTTTTTTCGTGGCTACATATCTCCGTGTCCAGATTCCCGTGATGTTTTCCTTGATGCCCCAACTATGAACCACAACTCTGGCCAACCATTGAGACGCAGTTCATTATTGCGATGCCTGAAGCTTGATGGTGCCAACCTTTGAAAGTATAGCCACCAAGACAGAATGTGAATTTCAGTCTGGGAAGGGCCTGAGCCATTGTCATGTATGCAAAGCTGGAAGATCTACTCACATAGGGATGTAGATGACATGATTGCATTAGAAGGACATGTCATCCTGCAAAAAACCCCAAACTGCAACTGCCATTTCACACCAATGTCAGATAGCTATATAGACCTTAACAGGTATCCATGCTTCGAATACCGAGTACCGAGTCGTACAGCTGAGCACTCACAGTATTTCCCCGTAGTGTCAGATATCTGGAAGAAAAGGCGATTGCATCACGGCCCTGCTACCATCATGATCACCAATGCACTCGAGGGAGTTTTGGCAAGAATGTCGGTATCAGGAGTGGGTTGACTAGCAAGACCTCGGCCAAAGAGAAGAGGGTTGCTCGCGACAACCAACTCGAAAGACATCAGGATTGAGTCGATGATATGGATGCAAAGGGAAGAGGTAACCGGTAGCAATGCAAATGATATTTTTCAAGAACACTTATTTTCCGTTGGCTCTAACTTAGTCGTGGCCATAACAATCATAGACTCCAAAGTTTGCCCCCATGTTGAATTGCCCCCATATACCACATATTTAATACTTTGGCTCGCTCAATACATTACTCAATTCCATCGTAGTCCTTCTAAGCAGGCGCAGTACCCTTCCAGTACTTTGTCTGGATAAAAGGCATCTTGGTGACGGTACCCTTACGGGCCTTTCCTCGTACCACAACGTCCACCTCGGTACCGGCCTTCTGGTTGCCGCTCTTGATGTAGCCCATGGCGATATTCTTGCCAAGTGTAGGGCTGGGAACACCACTTGTGATGACACCGATCTTCTCACCGTCCTTGTGAATCTCGGCACCTTCACGAGCGGGAGCTCCGTCGACGAAGAGACCGATGCGGCGGCGGGTGACACCTGAACCGCCCTTGCTCTTGGGTGTGAGTTGAGGGATGATGGTTTCGGCACCGTGGAAGCCTCCGGCCTCGCGACGGGTAGGGGGGATGATCCAGCTAAGACCAGCCTCGACGGGTGTTGTGGTATCATCGAGGTCGTGGCCGTACAGACACATACCAGCCTCGAGACGGAGAGAGTCACGAGCACCCAGACCAGCGAGCTGAAGGCGCTCGGGACCAGCCTTGCTAAGAAGGGCCTGGATAGCAGGGGTTGTTGTCTCAAAGGCAGGATATTCCTTTCCGTTGAATGAAATCTCAAAGCCGTCCTCTCCAGTGTAGCCACCTCGACTGATGAGGACAGGGTGAGTCTTGCTGCCGTCAGCGAGCTTAAGCTCAGCCCAGACGGCATTGCCAAAGTAGAGCTTTGAGAGATCAACTTCGCTGGCGAGGACCTCGCTTAGAACCTCGGCACTCTGGGGGCCCTGGAGGGCAACGAGACCGGAGTTGTCGAGACGTGACCACTGAACATCTCCGCCGAACTTGCCAAGCTCCTCATCGAGATACTTGGTGTCCTTGTCAAGACAGGCGCCGTTGGTGACAACGTAGTAGGTATCCTCGCCAAGTCTGGTGACAACCGAATCATCGACGATACCTCCAGTACCAGGCCACAAGAACGTTGTCAACTTGCTCTGCATGACACCCTGATTTGTCCAGTCTGAGGGAGTGAGTTTCTCCAAGAAAGCAGCTGCATCCTTGCCCTTGAAAATGTGCTGCACCATGTGGCTCACATCGAAAAGTGAGGCATGCTCACGAGTAAAGTGATGCGACTGAGCAAGTGAGAGGTTTGAGTATTGAACAGGGAGCGAGTAGCCAGCAAACGGCACCAGCTTTCCTCCATTGGCAACATGGAAGCCATAGAGAGGAGTCTTCTTCAGGTCAGAAGAACTCCCCGAAGCGCATCGTACGCTTTGTTGAGAGAGTCTGAGAGCGCCGAATGATGTGGGCCGTGTAACGGCGGCAGATGATAGGATTCGGGGACCAGCCCTCGCGGCCAAGCTGAGGCTCTTCTTCATGATGGAAGCCAATTGTCAATATTAGGAGTAATTGAGGAGAGTCAATTGACCAGAAACAAAGAAAATTAATAAAGAGGAAAAGAGTTTGTACAAGAAGATAAGAAGCCGAGGGGGGGGGGGGGGGGCTTAAGACTGGTACATGGCATGCACAGTACATATCATGCAAGTCACAAGTCACCCAATTTGACAATTGGCGCTGGTGGGGTTGTCACCGAGTCTGAAGTCACTGAGTCTGAACTTCACCGAGTCACAATCAAAAGCGTCGTTTCTAATTCGCTTCTCCACGGTCTCTGCCTCCGAAAACCGACCCCGGACCCCGCAGTCCCCGGAGCGCCCTCCGAGGGCCGAAGCCAGAGCGCATACATAGGCACCTAGAAGGAAGAGAAGCGCGGCAAATGCTGATAAGAATAAATTATTGATAAGGCTGCGTGAGGGCATCACTCACGGCATAGGATCCAATTGTTCAACACTCACTTCATTCTCACGCATAATCGTAGTCAAGGTGATGCTGCTCAAACTACCAATAACTAAAAAGCATGCCATTACAAGCTGATGCTTTCTCTTGTCCCCGCTCCTCAGCTCAGCTCAGCTCGTCTACTGTGATTCTCTAAGCTTTGCGAACTCGGACCTGCCAGAACTGACGACATCAAGACGCCCGCGTAATAAACAAGACACTACACTCCTCTAGGGCTGATCTCTGCCAGTTCACTGTTGCTCAAAACTGTACTTCAACCAGCCTCCGAGAGCTCGGAGACTCTCCCATCGCACGTTCTCGTCATCCGACTGCATCAGTTCCATGATCCTTCTCTTGAGGCCAACCTTCTCTAGTTGATATCTCTTCTCGGGAACCTCCTTCACCAGACATCCAACGTCGTTGCAGGCAATGGCAAGCACTTGCTTGTCGTTATCCCAGGGCTGTCGCATGATCTCGGCCAGCTTCCGAGGAATCTCTCCGTTCTCAAACTCGAGAATCTTGCGGGCATTCTCAGCCCAGAAGACCGTGTTTCGATGAGGGGGCGACCATCGGAGGTGACCAGACTGCACCTCAGCAACATACTCGTCGAATGTGGTCTTGGTCTTGGTGTACTCTTCCAGCATTTCCTTGAGCTTTGAAAGATCCTCCAGCAAGTCGGGATCAGTCAGATGGCGACCACTGATGTTCTCGAGAAGAGCGGGAAGGCGAGCAAGAACCGCGGTGGGTAGAAGTGATTTCTGGTTTTTCTCAAGAAGGTTGTAGAGTGTAGAAAGGATCAAACGAGTTGTCTTTTCCTTGGGTGATAATCGTAGAAGGTGAGTGTAAAGAAGGACAATATCGTACTCGCTGCGGTTCAGTATTAGTTGTAGTCCAGCGTTGTCCATCCTCCTCCCCCGGCCTTGTAAATTCACTTACTCGTTGAGTTCATCACCAATCTCCTCAGCCTCAAAACTTATCTGCCAGATAACAAGGAGAGCATGGTAGAGAAGCTGGAGACCAACCCCTCCACCCAGAGAACCCCCAAAGCCAGTAGATCCGGTACCGGTGTTGCCGCTCCAGAGACTAGCAGATGAGCTGCCTCCATTTCCGATCCCAGCTGCAGTTTGAAGAATCTTGATCAGGGGCGCAATCGTCTCGCTTCGCTGGTTCCAGAATTGCTCTCTTGCGACATGCCCAAAGAGCAGAGATGAATACTCCTGTACAGCAATATCTTGTAGACCGGCATCGTTGCTCTTGGCCAAGCCGGAGAGATAGGTGAGAATCACAGGCAGAGCCTGGAGGGTAGATCGGGACTCGTCTCGAGCAAGAGCCATGAGTGTGGTAAGAGCATGTGCAGTAAGCAATGGAATAGGATCCTCAGCATTAGTCGAGTTAAGCAGAGGCAAAAAATGTCGATAAGGCTCCTTTGTCTTGAAGAGGGCCCTGGCTAGAGGTGGAACAGCTGAAGATGTTATGTTAGCATTGGTGATTGGAGATTATGGCGGAAGTCGCTCTATTAGTAGATAGTAAGTAGTAGACATGGGCTACTCAATGGCACTTCCCAATGTCGCATAAAGATAAAAGGGACGCTCTTACTCTCGAGAAGGTCGCCAAGCAACACTAGGATGTACTGGATCACATTCGCATGCTTTCCCGCCGTCTCAAGAACGCTCGTCTTTCCATCGTCGCCAACAAACAAGACGCGATATCCATCAATATCCCCTGACACAATCTCCTTTCTTTGCTCAGGCTTCTTGGCCTTATCTACAGCTCGAATCTTTGCATACTGCTCCTCGGTGAGGGTGCCGGCCCTGACAGCACCGTCCCAGGGAATGGGTCGCTGACGGATGTTGCTCTGGAGAGAGGCCAGGTACGTTGGCGGGTCGAGGGACATGATTAGCTATGATTACAGCGTCGCGGCTGCTAGCAGCGAGCGGTTATTTGTGGGATGAGCCAAAGGATATATCTAGGTGACGAGAACGGAGGGAGGAGAGCGGAGAAGGAGATGGAGGAGGATGGAGGAGCTGGTAGTATGAAGTTTGAAGTCGCTGGTGATGCAACCAACTTGATCTTGAACCGCGCGGAGCGTCACAGGTCAAGCTTGGGGCACCTAATGGAACCTTGAACTTGGTTGGAGCTTAGGTAGCCACAGCTGCCACGCCTAGCGCCACACGTTAAGAGTTTGCCAGATAAAATGTGGCTGTTGATAAAGTGTGGCTTGATCTGGCCTGTGGCTGTGGCCCTAGCGAGTTCTGCCATCCCTCCCATCTTCTCCTCTGCCAAGCTGATGACACGATTGAGCCAAAAGCCCAGACCGACCTGGGAACAATCCCTGAAAAATGCCCTCCCAGCCTCCGAGTTTCGTTTCCCTGCCTTAAACGCTTTACTCCTTCCAACACCGCCAATGGGAAGAGCCAAACACAGGTCTCGGCTTGCAAGGACGTTGCGATTGCCCCTGACAGTTTAATTAAAATATGCAGCATGCAAACGGCTTTCACTCTCATGATACGTGATCTGCTATTCCGGGGTGCCCCGGGCGTCGTGTAAGTGGTGATGACATTTACCCGCTGTACGAGGCCTAGCTCCAGGGCCGCAGACACGGGCCTACAGGGGGTGAGGTGAGCACCTCACTGCTTTGGGGCTCCGGGCAGCTATCGATAGTTGTCCAGTGAGCAAGCACAGGCGTGGTAGTCGGAGGTATCATGAGCTGGCACCCCACCATTGACGTGCATCGTATTCCAAGTCTCACCGACAAGACGAGAGATCGAGAGCTCACAAGAAAAAAGAAGACTGAGTGTTCCCCCTTAAAACGTTGCATCGAGTAAAGAGACTGATTTGTTGGCGTGTGGACCAGGTCCCCTTATTTCGGATGAGCGCGTGCGTGTGTCAAAGTGCCCTTCTAGGTAAATCGGAGAGGCTGGTATAGACTATAGTTGTAAGTGGGAGGTTGGGACTCAAGAGGAAGCCTTTCGTTGCAGCCCACCACCAGCCGCTTAAAACTCTTGGTGCAGCGCCCAGAATTCAACGTTGCCGTTTCTCGTCTCTTTTTTTCCTGCTTGTAATTGACCTCTTACTAACTCTTGGAAGTTTCTTTTTCCTTGGAAACTTCACCACCAAACCTTACTTAGCCTCTCACTCACCCGCATCTCACAGCGACCTTCACTCACCTCCAGACTCCAGTTCCATCTCGGGCACCAACAATACTTCCCCGCGACAACGCAGCCGCTTCTCCCGCATTCCAGAAGCTAAGCTAAGCTGAACTGTTTCACAAGGGACTCGGATAAAATCTCGCAACCAGTCTCGGTTCTTACCCAGATCAAATTCCTCACCTTGTGCACTCAGCTCAATTCGAAACTGGCACAAGCTCTGACTGGAATTGGCCTCAAACAGTATCATTCCGACCTCGGCTTTGCGCCAATATCCACCAACCTTTGAACAAAAGTGACGATCACAACCAAAAAAAAATCAAAATCGCTACAATGCGCTCCGTGACGAGGCCGCTGCTGCTCCTCGCTGCGGCAGCTCTCTGCTCTGCCAAGCCGCTCCCCAGAGATGGTCTTCATGATCGCGATTACTCATATCTCTTGCAACGAGCATGCGACTCACCCTGTGGCTCCGACAATCAGTACTGCTGCGGCTCTAGCGAGACCTGCCAAACATCAAATGGAGTCGCAAGCTGTGTCGCTGCAAAGGGAGGCTGGGTCGGCGATTATACGACTACCTGGACAGAGACCAGAACTTATACCAGCACAATCATGACCCGCTGGGAGCCTGCTCCGGAGCCTACAAAGGGCGTTGACTGTGTGCCCAAGAACGACGAGCAAGAAGCATGCGGTGAGATCTGCTGTGCTGGCTGGCAGACTTGCGCGTTCATGGGTCAATGCTCTGCAAAGCCTGGTTACGAGGAGCCCACCGCTGTTGTCATTACCACTGATGGAAAGATCACCACCCAATACTCGGCTCCTTATCGAGTCACTGGTACCACCACTATCACCAACAGCGGTGCGGCCACCGAGTCCGAGACTGCAACTGAGACTGAGTCCGAGGCTTCTGCAACGGCTACCGAGACTAGCGAGGGTGCTTCAGCTGGCGAGACCGGAACTGGTGGTGGGGGCCTCAGTGCCGGTGCCATTGCTGGTATCGTCATCGGCGTCATCGCTGGTGTTGCGCTTCTCCTTCTTCTGTGCTTCTGCTGTATTGCCCGCGGTCTCTGGGTTGCCCTCTTTGGCAAGAAGGACAAGGAGAAGAGCGAGCGTGTCGATATCTACGAGGAGCGATACTCCCGCCACGGCAGCCGACCACCTCCTTCGGCCTCGGCCCACTCCCGTCGTCCTCGACACAAGGGCTGGTTCGGCATGGGTCGCCGTGGTTCCCCTTCTTCGGCCGGCGATCGTCGTGAGAAGAAGTCGGATGGCAAGAAGTGGCTCGGTATTGCTGGTCTCGCGGCCACGCTCCTTGCTCTCCTCAATCTCAAGAAGGATAAGCGACCTGCAAGCACCAAGCCCGCGCGCTCATCTCGAGGATCGTCACGATCGCGGTATAGCGATTCCTATTACTCATACAGCGACTACACCAGTCCCAGTAAGTCTCGCTGACGACCCCAGATACATCACTTTGTCGTACTAACAGTCACAGCAGGCAGCTCAAGCTCAGGTGGACGAACGAACCGCACTCGTCGCACAAGAGACAGCCGAGCGAGGTCGTACTACTCTCGCGACAGCAGGCGATAACGCCTTTAAATCCCCGCTCCTCAACTTTTTATCCCCATTCGTCACACATATACTCCCCTTCCTGTACATGTCTCTGCATTTGACATAAGGATTCGAGCCCACATTGTACACACTCGACTTGCGGTTTCACACATTAAGGCCACTGGCGTTCCTGGTTGTTCACATATTATGGTATTCTGCTGATATTTTTGCGGCCTCTGGTTTTTATTTCCCCCCCATTTACCCCGTTTCATCATTGATGTTGTTATTTTACCCACGCATTCATGGATGGTCAATGCTGCTGCTTTTTGTTACTCAAGAGATCACGTCACGAAAGGAATTGAAAGGAAGACTAGATGAAATGACTCACAATGAAAGTCAAGAAGTAAAATTACGAGTTTGATATAAAAGATGAATATACTGACGAGGCACGTTCTAATGTAAATGCGAGCCTCATTCTTGATATGCAACTTTTGATCATAATTGCCCCCGTCAATCAAAGACAGCCATTGATGTGCGTGGACCAAAGTTCTGAAATAATTATGCATTGACTCGTTTTACCACTGAGCGAATTGGATAGTATAGATCTTGTCGAACCGACTTCACGATAGACAAAAAACGCTGTGGGAGTTCCCAAGCACAGATAGTGCGCATTGGAAAATGATTAAACGCCTTTTTTTTTCTTCTTATCGCAAAACACCCGAAACGAACCCTCGTCTAAAAGCCGGCCCTTTTTTTGCTCCTAAAATGGTCACATGCACGAATGAACAGATGCGATTCGATTCGTTGGCGAGATTCAAGTGTTTGTCGGCACCAGAGTCATCATCTCTTTGCTTTTTTGAAATTTGTTTTGTAGCCCTTTTTTTTGCTACATGACATGCAACGATGAACCTTCGCCACTCCTGAGACCCAGAAACGCAAAAGAAACAAGATCCGTGTCCGTACCCGCGCTTATTCGTCCTGGACAATGTTGCCCTTCTCGGAGACGTACAGACCGTCAAGGAACTAGGCCAATCAGTAAGAGTCAGGAAAAGAGACAGTGTGATATTATGTCCTACCTTTCGGATATCCTTGTTTCGCACCCGGCAGATCTGCTGGATATCGGCGGCACTTTGCGACACGTTCTCCAGAGAGTTACCAGAGAGGACGAGCTCATCCTTCTGGGTGGTGGAAGCCTCAACATCGACACCAGGCTGCATGACAATTCGGCGGACGAGCTTCTCGCCGATGAAGTTTCGGATCTCAACCTCGTACAGGTCGGTCTCCGCGTTCTTGGAGACGTTGACGTTGATGGGGAAATGGGCGTAGACGTATCGCATCTTGTACTTGAAGCCCTTGGTGACACCAATGATCAGGTTGTTGATGAGGGTTCGTACAGTTCGGAGGGTAGCGACATTCTTGCGGACACCGTGGTGGATCTCGATGGAGATCTGGTTCTTCTTGGGGACGGTGAAGTTGACGGCCAGGTGGCTGAGATCCTTGACCAGCTTGCCGCGGGGGCCCTCAACGGTGACAATTCGCGACTTAATGCTGACCTTGACTATATAGAGAAAACGAGTCAGCTTTTCCGTCTTGTGAGTTGGAGATTCTCGTTTCGACGCTCGTGGATAATCCCCTCGGGAATTGCCAGAGTTCCCATTGTGGGCGCAGTTTATTGTTGGTGTTGATGTGCAGCCCCCATTTGCGAATAGCTCTGGCAATTTTTCGAGGGGACCGATACCCAAATTATTCGAGCGACGGCGAGGATATCAGACTTGAAAATGAAACAGGGCGCAACGTACCCCCCTCGGGGATCTCAAGGAGCTCCTGGGAATGAATGTACTTCATCCTGCCGGCTGTGAGTTGATATCGGTGTTGAGGGATACAGGCGAAACAAATTCTGAGTTCTTGTGCGGGAAGAACATGGAAAGTGCGTAGGGCTTTCTCTTTCCACGTGAGCGAATTTGGTGGAGAATTCACGTGACCAGTGCGGAAGCTGTGAGCCAATTAGATCTATTAGCAATGAAGAACACCAGTTTTATAAGCAGAACATCGGTAATTATGGTAGGAAAATATACAAACTGTTTACTGTAAGAGAAGTAATAATCAACAGTCTCGGTAAATTATCTGTTCTTTTCCTGTCTGTATTCATGTTTGAATTCTGATCACATTCATATCTTATCAAGTCGTTCGGCCTTGTTAAGGTAACTGCGGCAAGCTCGGTGGGTCTTCATCGGTCCCCTGTCTCCCCGGCCGACGTCAGCGCCGACTCTCCTCAACAGCTCGGTCCAGCTCAGCCCAGCCCAGTCCAGCCATCCCACTATCATAAAGCTTGCGCCAAACATAGCCTCATCTCACTTATCAACAGAGCACTTGGGGCAAGAGGCAGACGACATACAAAATCGCCCGCCATGTCGTACTTTTTCGCGACTCCCGTCGATATCGACGTCGTCCTCGATGATACAGATGAGCGTTCTATGGTCGATGTCAAGCTCGACAAGAACCGTCGCGAGAAGGCGCCTCTCTTTATGGATGGCGAGTCTGTCAAGGGCGCTGTCACCGTTCGTCCAAAGGATGGCAAGAGACTCGAGCATACTGGCATCAAGGTCCAATTCATCGGCACGATAGGTTCGCGACCCCTATACCTCGCAATGCCCTCCCTATCGCCTTCGCACGTACGTTTGGCAAGCTACTTCAGTTACTGACCTGTCGCAAAGAAATGTTCTTCGATCGCGGCAACCACTATGAATTTCTGTCCCTCAACCAGGAACTCGCTGCGCCTGGCGAGCTTCAGCACCCACAAACATTCGACTTCAACTTCAAAAACGTCGAGAAGCAGTACGAATCATACAATGGCATCAACGTTAAGCTGCGCTACTTCGTCCGCGTCACCGTTTCACGCCGTATGGCCGATGTCATCCGGGAAAAGGATATCTGGGTCTACAGCTATCGCATCCCCCCTGAGATGAACAGCAGCATCAAGATGGATGTTGGTATCGAGGACTGTCTACACATTGAGTTCGAGTACAGCAAGAGCAAATACCATCTCAAGGATGTCATTGTTGGGCGCATCTACTTCTTGCTTGTGCGCCTGAAGATCAAGCACATGGAGCTGTCCATCATCAGAAGAGAGACGACAGGCGCTGCTCCCAACCAGTATAATGAAAGTGAAACCTTGGTGCGCTTCGAGATCATGGACGGTTCCCCGTCGCGAGGAGAGACAATTCCCATTCGACTATTCCTCGGCGGCTTTGATCTAACACCTACATTCCGCGACGTTAACAAGAAGTTCTCCACGCGTTACTACCTCAGCTTAGTTCTCATCGACGAAGGTCAGCCAAGCCCCCACCCAATCTCATGTCTCAACCACCCAACTAACATCGTTCACAGATGCTCGACGATACTTCAAGCAATCTGAGATTATCCTATACCGCCAAGCTCCTGACGCCGCACCCGTTCTAAATGCCGGTACCTCATCACTACCTGCGCCCCCAGAGAACAAGTTGGCTGCTGCACAGGCATAAAGATAGATTAGAAGAGCCTGGCTGTTGGTCTGATGTACATACCATGTCAACTTCATGCGCGTCCTTTAAGCATCGGGTCCTGGCGTTTCGGGTTTCAAGGCTGGAAGAGCAAGATGATGCAAGATTTGTAGTTTCTGTTTCCTCTGCAAATCAAATTAATACATACACCGTAAACAGTCCCGGTGATATGTCCTGAGTATTTCGCCCGTCCGAGTTTTGAAACAATACACCTCTAGTCTACACAAAGTAACCTGTCCTATTTCTGCATTCATGCAATTTCCATAACGTCATCCGCCTCGAAGCCAAATTGGTTGTTGTGAATCGCTGCGATCCGGTCCAGCTCATCCTGATACTGCTTGCGAATATCGGCCAATGATACCACCTTGCGCTTTCCTGCATCTTTCTGTCCAAAGCCAGCCGAGGTCTCATCATAAATCCAAGCCTGCTTGGGGTCTACACAGCTGAGAGCATTAATAAGCAGTAGGTATTGCCTTGTCACCGGCGTATCGAGGATATCTTCTCCCGTAGCCTCATCCCCCTCCCCGGCGCTTTGCAGCTTGTGGATTCGGTCTAATACAACCGACGCGGCGCCACGGTAGTTATCGTGCTTAATACGCCATGAGTAGAGGACCTGGTGGTAGGGAAATCCTTCTATAACATCCAATGATGCTTTTGTCTTCTGCGCCAGGATATCGTCAACCTCCTGTTGGAGACCGGGGAAAGGGAGAGCAACGAGCTCATTGTTGTGATAAGTCGCACACATTCTGTCAATCAACTTGCGCAGATTTGAGATCTTCATGGCCTGATCCTTAATCGAGACCAAGGTTGTGTGTGCGAGCTCGAATTGCGAGGTTGCTACTGCAGCGTTGAACAAGCGGCTTTGCATGTCAGTCTTGGTGAACATAGCATCCTGCTTAGTACCCAGGAACTGCATGGCCAGGCGGGCGAAATCGACCACATAAGAGTAGGCCTTCTGCTTCTCGAACAAAGCAACAATATGCGAATAGTACTTTGCAAGGCCTTGGTAAAGGAGGTTCCACTCTGTGTCATCAAGCAAGCCGCTACTATGGCGGTCGCTTCCAGCATCCCCAGCGCCTGGCGATCTGTTAGTGAGGGATCAGTAGCAAAATTGTAGGGACTTACTCATTCCAATGGCTGCTTTTCTGAAGAAAATGGCAGCGGTATTGAAATCCTTCAAAGCCAGCTGCAAACGGCCCTGGACATATGTGGAGAAGGGGTTCTGGTCGCAGAAAGGCGCAAGATCCAACGCCAAATCAGCCCTCTCTCGTTTGATGAGAGAGCACTGGACAAGCGGTGGTGAAATCTCAATATCACTGTCCGGAGCGCACAAGTTGGTGACGAGATCTGTGACACTGGTAGCCAGTGGCTCACTCTGGTTCGCAAAACCAAGCAGGTGACCAACATGCGCCTCCAGTGCAGTTACGAGCTGAGCATCCTCAGAGCTCTTCTTCACAGCTCCGCTCTCACTTTTTTCTCGGGTGCTTGGCACTGAGATTTCTGTCTGGGCGAGCCATTTCAATAGCTCCAAACGTCGCAGGGCCACGACGAGCTGTCTGAATACGTTGCCAATATCAACACGATTGTGAAGAGCCTCTGCCTCGTTATCGTGCTCATACTCCATGTGGACGAGAAGAATCAACTGGCTGAAGTAAACCTTCCGCTGCAACTCAATACTGTCTTGGACGGCTTTGACGACCAGTTTCCTGCCAAAGTCGGTAAGTGGGTGACGTAAGTTCCGTGACTTGGCTTCCTCTGGTGCAGAGATTAGACTCATCACATCGGTGTAAAGCTCGTCTGTCACTATGTTAAAGTTTGGGCCAAGAGCATCGACAACTTGGCTACAGTCATCTTCAGTGATGCCTTGCCAAGATCCAGACTTGTCGTAGAAACATGAGATGCGCTCGAGGCCTGTCTTGGAAGAGTCCTCAAACAGCTCAGGTCGTAGTGCAGCATGGCAGAGCGGCACCAGGTGATCAGGCAACCCGGCAACCAAGTTCAAAGCTGCATTGACTAGAGCCGTTTGCGCAACGTGGTCTTCCTCAGGAGAAGTGAGGTTATGGTACAGTCGCTCCAAGCTACTGCACTCACGAATAGCTGAGAGGAAGTCGGCGCAGACAACCCAAGTCATTCCTGTAGAGGGGTCAAGTGTCAACCCGAGCGCTTCTCCTCGTTGCTTGTCCAATTCGAGCAACAGGCGGTAGAACCTCAACCACTGGGTCTCACTGGATGCGCGGAAGGATTCGTACTCCATAGCGCCCGAAGAACCTCGATCTAGCGTTGCAGCAGCCCCTAGTATCGAACAAATCGACTCTGCCAGCCCTCGAGCCTTGGCAGCGGTCTCTGATTTTCCGTAGCCTCGCTCATAAATCGATAATGCTGCTTCTAAGGTCGATTTCGTAAACTGACCAGGCTTCAGGATAAGCTGGAGCCACTTCTCTGTAACGTCAGTAGGATCCCAGGGGCCAGAACTCTCTGCAGCCTGTATGAGATTATCTGCATAGACGCCGTCCCAGTTCTCCTCCCAGCTCTGCGAGATATTCTTACGATCCACTTCGAGCCTTTGCACCCTATACGTCATGTTGTTCTTCCACAGAGTCCAGAGTTGGATAGCGCCCTCTACAGGACAAGAGAGAGCGAAATCAGCGAGTGTCCACACATCAGAGGATGATGGTGTCAGTGGAACCAAGGCGTTATTGGGGAAGATGTCTTCGACGACGACGGTCTGCGCATCCTTTGCGACGATCTTCCAGAACTTAAACTCTCCAGCGCCGATGGGCGAGAAGGTTGCGCATATCCTACTAGTTCGGCCCCTTCCAACAATCTGTACTAGGTTCGTCTGTGATGGATCAATAGCCCACTTTCCAATCTCCTGGGGGTTCCTCTCAGCATTGAGAATATCGCCTGTATAAAGAATTTGGCCATCGTTGATGTTCCAAATTCGCATTCTGTGATCGAGACAGACTGTGATCGCAAAGAGACTATCATCCATTCCGAAACTTGTGATCTGAATCGACGTGGCTGAGCTGTATTCCATATTGATCTTGCCGTTCTTGATTGTGTGTTTTCCTTGGAAAGGAAGAAGACTTCGGAGATTCTGCGCCCATCCCTGGACGTTAAAGAACGACTCCTTCCAGACGAGTGAGGATACTGCAAGAATTAGCATTGGCATATTTTGACATCACTAGCCCAATAGCACTCACGCTCATGCGCTTTGTTCTTGTCAAGCCTAATCATTCCCCCATCATTGACCGTAATCAACAGCGTCTCCGCGTTCACAGCAATCATGCGATGAGGATGCTTGAAACCCAATCCTGCCGGCGCTTGGACCTTGCCGAGGTCAGAAAGTCCAGCATCGACGGCCGATCTCTTCCTGAACAAATCTGGCCGAAGGGTGAAGCTATACAGCTGATATGCTTGGTCGAGAACAAAAACACATAGGGAATCGTGCTCTTCGGGGTCCGAAAATGTGACGCATCCTGGCTGAATAGGTACTGAAAAGTGGAAGTTCAAGACAAGCGGAGAATCGGTCGCCTGTGTCTTCTTGCAAACATCAACAGCCCGAATGCTGAGGAGAGTGCCGTCCTCCAAGATCCTCCAAAGGAAGCTACGTGGTGTGTCATGCCAAATTCGGTGGTAGACAGAAGAGGCAGTGGCTAGGTTCTTCGTTCGAAATGTCGTCTCATCTTCTGCTGTGTTCTCGCGCACCGGTTTTCGAAAATTGCGGCTCTGTATTGAATTCGAGGGTACTCGGATCGTGACAACAGAAGAAGAAGTAGGGGGGTCGAGGTTCACTCTTGTCTCTTTGAAGAGATATTGGGTATCAACTTGATCCATTTTCGCCCCATGAATCAAGTCGAGCGTGACGAGATGAGTTCGAGTACTAGGCGTTGAGTTGGATGTGATGATGGATACCTAAGGTTGTTAACAAAGCGGAATCGCGTTGTAGAATTTCTGGCAGAGTCGCGACCCACGCTAACCTAAAAAGGCAATCAGCTAGGTACTGGTCACTGCAACACTGCCGACATAGGTACATTAGTAGGTAGGTACTAAGGTAGGATAAACGATTGAGTGCATCAAAGTTACGCACTGCTAATCATGCGTCAATTTCATTTCTTTCTTTGGGAGGATTTGCTCCAAAGAAACTTGTTTTCATTGGTGAGAATTCCAGCTATTCATCCCAACCACCCTATCCTCTAACATTTAGGTAACATCCATCTCAAGAAAAACACATGAAACAACCATTAAGTTATGCGCCAGCAATCATATCAAGAATCATCACCATATACTCCAGTGATCGTACAAACATGCAAGGTCGTCCGCTATCGTCTAATCCTTCTCCATGTCCTTTGGGGCCGGGTCACCGATACCCTCTTCGCCAATGGCAAACAGAGTATCACTTTCTGGCAGGCATGGGCTGTCGTAAATTTTGGCAATGCGTGTTTCCGCACGACCCTTCTTGAGACTGATTCTTGTTGTACTGGCATGAGCGATAATGTTGCCACCAATGGGCTTCTTTGGATCAGGGTTGAACATGGCACTTGGGCCACCATCGACCTGAGCCACGACTTGATTTGTAATGACAACCGCGATGCCAAATTCATCTGCCAGACGCTGAAGGGTCCTCATGAATTTGGCCAAGTGAGTCTGTCGATTCGAGAGCTCACCGCGACCGCAAAAGTCTGTTCGGTAGAGCGATGTCGCACTATCGACGATGAGCAGAGAAAATCGGGTCTCACACATCATAGCTGCAGCCTGGTTGAGTAATTGAAGCTGGTGATCAGAGTTGTAAGCGCGTGCGTACGCAACATTGTCCAAGACCTCTTCGCCAGAAAGGCCAAATCGGTTGGCAACGCCCAGTAGACGGACTGGTCGAAATGTACCCTCGGTATCGATGTACATGCATTTTCCTTCGCCACCGCCCATATCAAAGGGTAGTTGACAAGTCACGGCGAGTGTGTGGCAGATCTGACTCTTTCCGGTTCTGAATTCACCAAACAGTTCAGTAACTGAACCTGTTTCAATGCCACCAGCAAGAAGAGTATCAAGGTTCTTGGATCCAGTGGTAATAGAAATGAGCTCGCTGCGACGCTGGTGCATCTCCGTGGCTGTAGTGAAGCCCATGGGGACGAGCTTGGAGGCTGCAATACTGTCAGTGATTTTCCCCGATATATCCGATCCGATAGACACTTACCCTCTCCCAGGATCTTGGTCGCCTTCTGTTCTGAGATACCCTTGATCTGTTCCAGCACTCGACGCGGCGTGTAGGCCACGGACTCGACTGTGTTGTAGCCTCCATCAATGACAAGCTGAATATCTCGCTTCGTCAAACCAGCAATTCCCTGCATGGATCAATCAGCGTCAGCCTTTATCACAATTGCGTTTCGACAGAAGTTTACCTCGAGCGCGGAGAGTGGCGTTGGAGCACCAGGGCCAGGCATGCCGCCCTCTTCGCCCATCTGAGCCTCATCATACTCCTCACTCATTGTGATTCTTAAGTCCTTCTCCTGAATTGTATCAGTCAAAGACGATGATTCACAGACTGTACGGTGAACTAGAAATTTGCAAGAAATGGGCGAGGGGGTGAAGGAGGAAATCGCGGTCGCGTCTACCTACCTTAGTGTGGAGGCAACAGCGCCACCATTCTACGCCAAATCACGTGTCGCCGGTTGACATGGAAATTTCTATGACAGCCGACTCTTAATTGGTCAACGGAAAAGGTGGGTTTTAGTCTGTCAGCGAATAACCATTATCTTTCGATCGAAGCCAACGCTTCTGAGAATTATTTACACATGATGTAGAGTTTCTTAACTGGATTGATATAGGATGATCATGAACTTGTCATATAATCAAAAACCGAATTTCTATTGATGATTTCAAGATTTTATTCGTTTGCTGACCTTGGGCCCCCTGTCTATTTGCCTGTCTTGACTAACATCCTAGTAAGAGCATTTAATAGCAAGCACATGCCTGAAGGCGCAAGAAACTTCTGACACTTGATGAAATTGCCCAAAACTACAATCCTGAATCCATTGGCTTGCAAAGCCTACCTGGATTATTATGTCGCTTGCGGTATAGACCCTTAGGAGGTAGTCTAGGTGTAACTAATACTATGGCAGTGTTAAGGAGTGAACAACGTCGTAGATATCGCATTAAATATATTCACGGACAACTAGATATGGCTGAACATGTCACTTGGACTTTTATGAATATTTGGGAAGTTGTTTGTAAAAGCAGTTGAATTATTAGTTGCTGTTGTACAAGGAGTGAATGGCCGAGTTAGGCCTACAATGCTATTTCATGCTAAGAAACCTTCAAACACCGATCCATGCAATGCTTAAGTCGTAAAGATGAGTCATTACTGATCTTGACTTGTCGTGAAATCTGGGAGCTGGATAACAACGTCATCAAGATTCCGGCTTGTGGTGTGTTGTCGCGTTTACTCGACGTTAATGCGGCGAGACTCGTGCTTCTTGGCCTTGGGAACAACAATGCTCAGGATGCCATCCTTGAACTTGGCAGAGACGTTGTCCTGGTCGACACGAGTGGGAAAGTTGAAGCTGCGAGAGAACTCGCCGAAGGTGCGCTCGGTGAGCCAGTACTTGGATTGATCACCAGGCTTCTTCTCAACCTCCTTGGACTGTTGGTGGTGGGTGACTTCGGTGCTCTCGTGTGCCTTGGCCTCGGCCTCATCCTCAACCGTGGCGTGGTGAGAGTTCTTGTTCTCGTCGTTCCCCTCGCCTTCGGCAATGGCGCCCTGGGACTGGGCGCCCTCGACGAGGCCAGCGGGAGGAGTGCCGGCAGTGTATGTGCGCTCAGTCTTGCCGCGGATGGTCATGGTCTGAGGCTCAGTGAATTCGATGTTGACGTTTTCCTTGGTCATGCCGGGGAGCTCTCCATGGAGCTCGTAGGCCTCGCCAGTCTCGCGGACATCGAACTTGGGCTGCCAGTGGGTGAGGCCGCTTCGACGGGTACCACCGTTCTGTTGTCCCTGACGAGAGTAGCTATCGAAGTCGTCGAGGAGACGGAAGAGGGGAGTAAAGGAAGCATCGGAGTTGTAGAAGTTGCGGGGGAAGAAAGCCATTGTGTTTGCGTTGATGTTTGTGTGTGTGTGTGGAAGAGAGATGGTTGTAGTGTGCAGAGAGTTGTAGTGTTGTGGATATTGTTGTCGCTTGTGCTTGTTTCCTTGTGTGTGTGTTCTGATGAAGAATGAAGTCCAGCTTGGGGGGGGAGAAAAGCCTTGCTTTATACCTATTGATGAGGAAGATGTGATCGAGATAGGAGTTTCCTTACCTATCGCGAAAGGTCGATGGAACCTACCACTTGGAGGTTCTGGAAATCGCACGACTGCGAAAGAGGCCTATAGAAGCATTGGCAAACCTTAAGCGAGGACTACTACGTGATGTTGACATCAAAATCATACGAAATTAGGTGCCATCGCGAGTCTGTTGGCTGCTCGTGGTTGCATGAAGCTGCTGGACAGTGGTGGATCATGGTGGAATCTTCCTTCCAATTCGGGAACGTAAACACGATATAGCAGCAGCAACACAGCCCTTGACTTCTGACAGTCACGGAAACTTCTGGTCATATTAGGTACCATAAATATTACCCGACCTTAAGCAAGCCAATGAATTCGTTGAGGCTTTACGCTGATCAGTTATCGGTTCCATGGACAATCGAAGAATGCTAAGGTACTCCGTACACTGTGATAGAATCCAATGTCTGGGGAAGATGGTCCAAGCGTTTAGAATGCTGACATAATATGCTTGACTACAGTTCTGATCACCCTATACCAAGCTAGATCATGCTTGAATAAGTATAGTCGCTATAGTTCAACATCCTCTCTGTTACATATTCTAGGTAGCTTTAATCCATTAAGTGTTCTGGTCGGAGATTTATCTTCGTCTTGTATAGGGCTCAAGACTGGTCATTTTGTTGTTAATGTTTTCATCACTAACAATGCCTTAACATTAATAACAACAGTTATATTCAACTCCACACTTGAATGCACACCTAGCTATGTAAAAATTCAAGGCAGCCACTACCTCTAAATAAAAAACATCACGTTATTAGAAGTGATAAAAAATGTAGTTTTTACTCGATTTATCTAATTTTGACCATATTGCTCAAGAGCTACCACAATGTACCCGAATTATATTATATCTCCTCTGCAAAGACCGCTTATTTCAAACCTGCATAACCTCAACGCCGAGCTAAAGAATCTCCTGTAGTAAGTATCACGCAGCAATTACAGAATATGCTAATATAATTACCCAAGTAGCGAACATGCAATAAATATAGAGGCCTGGGTATTTAGAATTATTTGGGTTGACAATAGGCAGATATTGAGGAGCTACCCTGAATCGAAACAATACCCATAAGCAGGGATAAAGCATTTATGGATGAAATACCCTTCATTATGCTAACTACTACTAACTTCGTACCTTAAGAATCTATTTGATATTCTCAGCACTTGGTGCCTTATATAAGAAAGACGACAGAAGCCAAAAGGTGTAGTTAAAGCAGGAAAGAAGGATGCTCCCACCTTATGATCATACCTTCACTGGAAGATTCGGAGGCATATGATGATATAAAATAATTTCCTCCCAAAAGAACAGACCTAGGATGAGTGCAAGCTCATGACGCATAAGTCTTTGAGCTGTAATGTGTCGATGATGAGTACTGATGAGTGGTTGAGGACCCAACCACACTGTGCCTAATTGAAAATGAGCGGCTTTCAACCAATTAGTGTTCCTGTGCTGGAAAGTCCCAGAAGAAGTTGGACTGAGAATGCATTCAGATCAAGAACTATTTGCTGAGAAAACAACCCAGGATTCAACCGAGTGGTATCAACATTGGTCACCTGGAGCCAGAAGACACTATCTTCAATATGGTGACCATATCCCACGTCGATGTACTGGAGACAATGGAACAGCATATGAGACACTAGTCCCAGCTTAAGAAGTGAGAGGATAGCGACCCTAGCGGAGGAGCCAGTGGTGAACATCGTTTAAGAGTGGCAGCTAAAGACAGAGAATATAGAGAAGATCCTGGAGAGGTCGAAATGGACATCTGAGTTGGACTCTATATGTGCACCGTGGCTAATAGGCATAGGCATGATTGTGTAGACCAGAGAGGGAGGTCTGAATGTTGTAGGTGCACCGCATCGAAAGGTGTAAGGCTCAGCGAGGGAAGGCCAACGTTCGGTGACAGATCGTTACATCAAAGGCTCAGACGTTCGTGAAGTTCGGTCGCAGTCGAAACCCTCTTATCGTAGGTAGGCAAAGGGCTTATAATCTGGAGGCCTATTGTAGTAATGTAAGTAGAATGTCGTGGTGAAAAGGGAGTGGTGAAAAGGAAAGAGTGGGTAGAGGCAAAGAGATACACTTAGACGCACTCAAATGTATAGACTTACTTACAACGTGACCCAGTCAACTGTAAAATAAGAATAATATTTCAAGTCGTACTCCCATCGATATGAATTCGTCAAGAAGAACAATTAACAACAAAAAAGGCCATACTTGTTAGATATCATGGGCAAATCCAGGGACAATACATATCCCCAGCTCTGCTGATATGACAAATGACGTAATTTAGCGATAAAGTGAACAGGGGCAAACGGGATCTTGTTCGGGTGCTCTTAATGAATGATTCATTGTGGCTTGGCCTTACTTGACTTGTTCTGTAGCATTGCGATCATGATTTAGTACATTCGTAGGTAGCCAAGGTTGATTGACTTGAAGCCATCAACTTCTCGCCACTTGGTGAGATAGATCTATGTAGGTGGCCAAGGTGTGATTGGGATTCAATGCACATCATCATCATCACCACTTCCATCATCAAAACTCCATGGATCGATCCAAATATCAATGTGGGGTCCGGCATTGGAGAAAAAGAAAACGGGACGGGAGATAGTTAGAAATAGTCAGACAAATGGGGGCAATGAGTACCCGGCAAAGTGATCAAGTATTCATGTCGTACAACTCTCTTGGTGTTTAACGAATCTCTTTTGTTACCCACTTGGAAGGGTCTAGACCATCTAGCATCATGACGTAGTCCATGACGTTCTGGACCACATCCATGTGCAGCTAAGGTACCCCAGAAACCTCAGCTGCTTTGGGTCAGAAAAGGCCAAACCTCCAGTGGCTGAAAGTCAACTTGCCAGTTCCTTGCGCGTGCGTTAGCGCTATATTTGAGGTACCAGGTACTCCAAAGGTGCTCAGTTTTATCAGATTACCGTTCTAATCACCCCCCCGTAAGCAAACATCTTCAGCCACAGCCTTGCCACATTTCTTTTTCCCTTGACCACGCCAACATTATTTGTCTCATCAATCACCGAAACCATACCGTAAATGATGCCCGATGGAATTCGGGCTCTCAGTTAGTTGCGATCCGCTGACGGGCGTCGACGGAATCTTGTAGTCCGCGTTTTCCGTTGCCACCTGGATCCGTGATCTACCAAGGTGGTCTGGCAGTGGAGGTTGATCAAGTTTGACGCAAGTACGTAGCATGGTAGATCCATGATATGATTTGCAGCTAGCTTGACAGCTTTGCAGCAACCTCTTAAATACAACTCAAAATCCTTATATTCAGGACCATATCACCACCAAAGCTAAAAATACGTCGAAAACTCGAATAGATATAATCATGAGACGTAAAACTGCCGTGTAGTTACATTTACATTTACAACCGTCGTTGATGACCCTTGCTCGTCGTGAATTGTCAACTATGTCCAGCATAGATCCCAAACCATATTCCAGTATCTTTGAATTATCTTCTCGGCAAGTGTGCTTTCAAGAGCATTAAAGTGCCTGAACAGCAGGAGTATCGCCTCGAGAACCTGTCTCAAATTCCCTCCGCATCTCATTGTGCGTATGGCCGCGTTGGCCCGAAGCCTTGCATCGTGACCATGGAAGCCCGCACGCCGGCGTCGACTGCCTCTGCGTTCTGCGCGCGGTTGAAGAGCCCAATAAGTCTTCGTCCAACTGAAGGCTCTAGTTCCGTACCATCTCGAGCAATTTTTACTTCACGGTTTGAGTTCCAAGGATTGCGTAATCCTCTCGTGCGGTAAAAAGGTAGTCGACTTGTGGATAGCCACTCCAGTTTGAAAGGCTTCCCCCATGTCTTGGCAGCACCCTCGTCCCCTGCATTGCTCTTGGTACTTGATGCTTCGCTTTCCGCATCAGACAAGGCATCAGCATCATCACGGTCCGCCTCCCAGAAGATAGTGCCTCTGGCAGAGTCGTCGATGATACGCCCCTTGGGAGCTTGTTCGTTCGCTTCGGTCGGTATGGCTTTCGGGAGGTCAAGGTCGCTCGTTGCCTGAGCCGTGGGTGCAAATTCGATGGCTGCCGCAGGGTCTTCGTTGATCTGCGATATCATCCTAGCATACCCATAATATTCTCCCGATTTATTGGCCGAGAAGACCAAGTATACACTGTCAGCGTCCTGTTTGGAAATGTTAGCTGACAATTGGCTCAAGAGTATTGCGCAAAGACCAGCGTACCTTGAAGGCATTATTCAATGCTTCTTCATTGTGAGATTGCGTAGCCCAGATGCCAGTGCTGACACTCAATTCGAGGTCTTCCACCGTTAGACTCTTGAGAATGAAGAACTTGTCCTTCTGCGGCGTCTTTTCGCCGGCAGCTCCAAGCTTGACGGTCCCTGAAGGCTCGGACGCCGGGCTTTGAATCACGCTCTGAGATGGTGACTTGTCTGCAACCTGATCCGTCTTGACTACTGTTGTAGCCACCGAAGGACCAGTTGGAGCTGTTACACCGGCTGCACCCTCCACTGTGCTCTTGCGGAGCCGGCTGACGAGACGAACCGACTGAAATTTCGAATCGTGTAGCTTCTGTTGAGCTGCAGTACAGGTTTCCCCATCCTTGAAATTGGCAAATGCACAGTTGCTCTTGGAGATGAGAAACAGTGATTCTAACCCTACAGCCTCTTTGCATACATGGTGGACGAGGCTCATGAGGTCGGTTTGCGGAGGAAGGTTGCCGATCCAGATTGCGTGTCCTGATTCAAGAGTTTAGCCGACACTGACGGTCATCGAGGTAAGTAGCTTACCACTCTGTCGCG